GCTGGCGGGCCCCGCCCCTCCCTCTCTGTCAGCACGCCCCTCCGCGGGGGCTCTGGCCGCTCTTCAGTGACGAAGCGCGGAGGCTGCTTTCCTTCAGCCCGGCGGGACCCCTCGCGCGAACCTGCTCGTGCACATGTTGGCCTCGCTCGTGTCGGAGGATTTGCTCCCGTGTTAAATAGAGCTTGTACCGCTGCTTTGTACGTGCCTTTGGCGTATGAGGATTGATGTTCTCTGGCCGCTTTCATTCCGGCGCTTCTGTCATTGCTTGAAAATGTCACCTTGTATTTGTGTACTTTACTGTTTTAACGTACAGTATTAGGCGTGAACTTCATCGTGATTGGGGTTACTGGCACGATGAAACGGGAAGATGAGGAAGAAACCTTTCAGCTTCCAGGGGATAGTGAAAAGAGTGGGGGGCGTAAACGTTGGTGGGGGGAGATCCTCTGTATGGGGTGAGAGGATAATTGTTAGAGGGAGCCAGCCATTCATAAAAATATTCTGGAGTTTTTGAAGTTATGCTGAAGTGTCCTTTGGGCTGAGTACCTATAATTTCAGCATTGCTGGATGATTAGCATGTGTGAAATGAAATCCAGTGGGATGGGGTCCAACTGCTGTTCAGGGTAGAAATTCACAGTATCCCAGGCAGCTGCTACCTAACCTCTGCTTGAACCCAGCCCCAAAAGGGGAACCCGCCACTTTTCTTTGGTAAATGGTTCCACTGCCAAACTGGTTCTGCTACTGTATTAGGAAAGGGTTTTACTCCTAACATTCAATCTGCCTTCTTATAACTTATGCCCATTTTTTTGCATCTGGCACTCTGGGACCATTGAGAATAGGTCTTGGTATTTTGCCTGACCAGTTGACAACTCCTGGCTGACCTGGGTTTGGCTGCAAAGTTAAGCTGAATTGGGCCTATGTATTACCTGCCTGGAAGATCTCCAAGAAATGGCAAGGCTGGAGGCTAGACTGGGAAGTCAAAACATATTCTAGATTAAAGGTGTGGTTTTCTCTCTGCATTCCCCAGAAAGCCATAGGAAGTTCTTCCTGGGGTTTAGAAAGGCCATTAAAACCTGACTTTTCCCACAGGCCTTGGAGATGGCTGTGTCATGAAATGTTCCCTTTTGTAGTGTGACTTTCTGGTGTGTTAACTGTACCTGTTTTTTGTCATTGGTGTGAAATTCTGAGTTGGTTATTATTAATTTAACTTTTATGTATAATTTCTAACCTTATTTTACAGAATAGGGTATGTAAGCTGCTCAGAGTTGGTGATGACTGGAGCAGCATATAAGCCCAATAAATAAATACTGTTGCAAAGAAAACTTCAGGGTTCTGGCAGTTTAATCAGTAGGAGTCAAACTAATTTGAGAATCTCTTTACTTCTTTTTTTCTAACCTTGGGATTTTCTTTGTGATAACCCTTCAGCTATTGTATCTCAAGGTTAAAGATGCATAGGTTGCAATCATTCTTCATAATTTCCAATCCCATTATTATCTTCGCTGCTTTTTTACCCATTCCAATTAGTCTGAATCCTTAAAATGTGATCCCAGATCCATAGTCCTTGAGATGAGATCTGACTAGTACAAATATAATTACAGGCAGAGTATACTTCTATTAAAGCAGCTCAAAATTTTGTGTATCTCTTTACTGTTGTGTCACACAGCCAATTTTATGCTGTATGCAAATTGGATATCAACACACCAACTCATCCAAATAATTATTGTAAAACGTTCATTTTCTGTTTCAAATCTCAACAAAAGCCTATACATTTTAGCCATAAGAAGTTCATTGTTAGTACACAATTCAGTTTCAAAAACAGTTTTATTTTGTTCAAAACTATATGTTTTTTTATCAACTTTAAATCTTTCTACAAGTTATACACGTGAAAACAATTGACACAAATGTCCTGATATCACATTTTCTCTTGATTTTATTTTAAATTCTTGGTGAGTATTGAGGATTGCCATAAGTTAACCATATTTGCTTAATTACTATTTCTTTCCTATAAAATGCTTCTTGTGGAGATAATCATAAGGGAATTTTCTGACATAGTCTAGGTTTATATCTATTCCAGATTCTCAGAATGGCACATCTAATAAAATGATTCTTAAAATCTACATTAACTTTAACTTTATCATACAATAAATAGCCGTGCCACTCAAATCTCAATTTGTGTCCTTCCAAATTAAATAGTCTGCTATTTTTCAACATCACCCATTCTTTCAACCAAACTAAACAACAAGCAGCAAAATATAATTTGAGATCAGAATGTCTCAGCAATTAGACATTTGTACAGGACTTGGATGGAAGACCACTAGGAAAGCCCCCACCTATATGATAGACTGGGAAATTGAAAAAAAAAATGTACCAGAAGAAGGCAATAGCATACTACTTCCATTTTGTCGTCCCCCCCCCCGACCCATGACTGAGTATTACTGGGAACCTATAATCCCAACTACCTCTATAGTTTATTAATAATTAGATTCCTATTTATTACATTTCTCAGAGGTATATGTACATACCCATAGCAATCTGAATACCAAGTCTTCAGACAAAGCAGCCATCAACAGGCATATAGAGATAAACAACATCTACACACTCATCAAAAGACAGTAAATAAAAAAGAAACAAAAGACCAGAACATCTCACCAGCAATCATCACCCAGATAAACAAAGATTAACACCAAGATTATCACCAGACATACAATCAAGCAGTAAACAATACCCTAATCAAAGAGCTGGGGGGGGGAATAAAACAAAAACCCCACCCCCACCCCCACCAACACTGGCAGGGCATGCCATTGTATATAAACAGAGAGCAAACCCCGTTCCATTTTAGCACTGAAGATGTTACCTAGCTGGTAATGAAACATTTGCAAGAAAACAACCAAGCTCAGAGAACCCCAAGGACTCCACAAAACAATGTTTATTAAAGCTAAGTTTAGATGAGACTTGCATATTCTACAGTATATGTGGTGGCCATGGGCAAACTGGTATTTCACTGCCAAACAACACAGAATTGGGTACACATGTACTAAGAAGAGTTTGTTTCATCTTGATTTATTAAGCTCCAAGTAACTGGGTTTGCACAGCATGTTAAACCATAATCCATGATTTACAAACTGCAATGTCTGGGTTCACGCAGCATGCAAAATCAAAGCCAAACAAATCATATATTGATGTAAAACTCAAACAGGGAAGACTTGATTAAAACCCCTACTCATCCATGACCTACTTAACCCACTTGGTGATTTACATATCATACTAAGCCATATTTATTAAACTCTTTTTGATTAAGCCATAATTAGCTGTGTTCATATCATATAATAGCTTATGATGTATGAACAAAGCTATGAGGAAAAATAATGGGTATTTGGGAGAATGACAGTTTATCTTGAGTTTGTAAAAAAGAATATATAGTAATGGAGAGTGTACATCTATACAATAAAGCTCATGCACTAACTAATAGGATCATCCATGGTTTTTAATCTGAACATTTTGGGATTGGGAAACATTGTTTTCAGATGAGAAGATGTAGCTTTCAGTCAGTTTGAACCCTGCAGCTCTTTGGAAATAAGCCAAAAGATCATTATATTAGAGAGAAAGAGTCCTTCA